TTAACTTTTAGGTCTATTCATCCCCTGACGGATTTTGAATACTGCTGCATAAAACTTTGTGACATTGTAGGTTGTCGCTGAATTAGTATCTACAAGTAGCAGGGAGGTATAAGATTGTTCTGAATAGCCTGGGTGCTTGTATATCAGAGGTAAGAAAAACCTGGGATGGATATCCCTGTAGAATGGGCACTGGAGGAGCACATGTTCTATTGTTTCTATATGACCCGAGTCACAGGGGCAGAATCTCTCTGGGAAAGAGATCTTCCAGTAGCAGCCTTTAAGTACAGCTGATAGGAGAGCATCACATTGAGCCAGGGTGAAAGCCCTTTGATGAATAGGAACCTCTAAATTTGTTAAATTTGTCATAGGGGAGGCAAGATATCTGCTGTCTTTGTTGATAAGGAAGGTTGGAACGGAGGCCAGATCTAGTTGGTGCTCTGTGATAAGCATCCTGTACAGAGACTATGGCAGACTTTGTGCAAGCAAAGGTATACAGGAAACAACACTGAACACAAGCTCTGTGTTTTATCTTTACATGAGCTTCCTAAGATACATGAAATGAAACCAAGCATAACATGATGGTATAAATTGGTTGAGCCAATTACCTGTTACTCCCAATATAGGATGACCTGCAAGTTCAATTCTGTATGGAAACCACTACAGTCCAAAGCTCAAAAAATAACTAGCAAATAAATTGACACAAAAGTTTGGAGCAAGGACACCAGCTAAAATGTTAACAAGGAGCAATGATGCTAAGATATAAGTAATGAGGAACAGGTCAGCCTTGATTAAAAAATAAGGATATTCTAAACATTTATTTATTTATGAACAAATAAGTTGGACAGTATTGATAACAATGGTCCATTTTCAGCTTAGGACCCCTGCAATTCAGAAGTGTGCATCTTGTTGTCACCTCGACAAACTTTCTATATTTTTGCAACCTAATTTGGAAGGGGAAAACATTTCTGTATTTTCGAAGGCTTTCATGGCTGGAATCACTAGGTTCTTGTGGGTTTTTTCGGGCTATAGAGCCATGTTCTAGAGGCAGTTCTCCTGACGTTTCGCCTGCATCTATGGCAAGCATCCTCAGAGGTAGTGAGGTCTGTTGGAATTAGGACAATTCACACCTAACTGCAGCAGGGAAGAGCTCCTTGCCCCACCCCAGCCATTCCACAGATATATAAACCCATTTTTCCTACTTCCAACAGACCTTCTCAACCTCTGAGGATGCTTGCCATAGATGCAGGCGAAACGTCAGGAGAAATGCCTCTAGAACATGGCTCTATAGCCCGAAAAAACCCACAAGAACCATTTCTGTATTGCTGTTATGAAGCAGCTGAAACCTAACTTAGTATATTACACAGGGATCACAACCTAAATTGCACCATACCTGCTCTACTGGATATGTTGCCTTTGCTCTAGCCAGTCATGCCCCTTATTCTCACTCCCTCATTCTCTCTGAACCAATGCTCTTTCCAATTCTAGCTGGCCTTTTTATCTGATTATTTTCACCTAACTGCTTGATTTTGCATCATTATATGGATTGGAACAATGGTTCTTTCTGGCGAGAGACAAAGGTCTTGCACTTGCAGATTTGTTCCTGCTCCCAAATGACTGAGAGCAGGAAAGGAGAAAAGTCTGTTAGAGAAAAATCTGATTTGCATTTCTAGGAATTCAATCAGAATTCCTGCTCTATTAAAGTTCTGTCCTACACTCCTGCACAGGAATTGTGACTATTTTGCCATTAATGTTTCATAAGAAATTCATGTTGTTATACACATCTGCCAAGATGAAAATCTAAAACATGTCAGGAAATTAACTGAATTTGATAGATTTTATTTTCTCCCAGGCATGTAGCTGAAATTCTCATGGTGGTTTGCAAAAAGGCCTTACTGGTGCATTATTTAAACTGTTATGTTTATTCATATCATGATCTGATCACCATACTCAATATATCCCATATGCATGGGGGTATTGGGGTAACAATACAAAAGGTTTGCTAGGGTAGACCCTCTTTCACTCAGACTCAGCCCCCCAAAACAAACTCAGCCCTCCCCCGAATCGAAATCCTGGTTACGGGCCTGTTTTCTCCCACTTATGAGACACTTAAAGACACTCATTTGATTCCATTAATAAACTCACAGATCATGAACTGGATGAATTCAATAAAAACACAGTTAACAAAAATTTCTTTTCACCCTCAACTGGGAGAAGGACTGCAGATTTCCCTGCACTGTAAGGAGGCTTAGCCAAGACTGAAACCAACCGGCAGTCACACTTGATTTTTATTGTCATCTAAACAAAGCCTCTAAATGCATCCATAAGATGTTCTGCCACATGCTTTTCAGTTAAATGGCAAAGGATGTCAAAGAAAATATACAGGGTGACAGATGTGGGAATGTCTTGATGTATAAAACATTGGTCTGTCAGAAGAGGAAATGTTTCAGATGAAGACAGAAGTAAAAACCTGAAATTATGAGGCTAGAAAGACAAAGAAAAATGATGTCTCAAAACCTTTGCTCCTCTAAGAGGGCTCAGACACATTTATGTTTGTTGTGATTTTATTTTATTTATATCCTACCTGGAAAATATCCATCAAGGATGGAGCAAAGATATGTAGGCAGACAACAGTCTCAGAAACAGAGGCTAAAACAGTCACCCTCATCCTTGGCTATGCTGTGTGTTCAGATGAATTTCAGTTCTGTTTCTATGAAGCCAGATTTATGTGCATTGGCTTCTGCTAGTCATTGGGAAGGCAATTCCTGTCCATTGTAAGTCCTGCCTTGCCCACTTCTGGCATTTTAACTGATGTTGCTCATATGTTTCCAGCTATCTTCATATTAGAGGCTTTTCCTATTTAACAATGAACATTAAAACATTGATTCAAATACTCTGATACCATATTCTCCTCCTGCATCAGCTGAATGGGTGATGGGAGTTGCTGTGGCGCAATGGGTTAAAACCTTGGGCTGGTTGAACTGGTGACCTGAATGTCAGCGGTTCGAATCCACGAAACAGAGTGAGCTCCCATCTGTTAGGTCTAGCTTCCCATGCAAGGACGAGAGAAGCCTCTCACAGGATGGTAACACATCCGGGCATCCTCTGGGCAATGTCTCTGCAGACGGACAATTCTCTCACACTAGAAGCGACTTGCAGTTTCTCAAGTCACTTCTGACACAATAAAAAAAGCTGACTGAGTAATATATAGAACTTCAATGCAAGATACAACTTATTAGAAGTCACTTTCAAGTTGCAAGATATACTTTCATAGAGCTTTCTGCTTCTTTGATACTTTGATGAAGCGGACCAAATAAACAGATGCAGATCTTTAAATATCTGGAAAAAATCATTTTGATTACCATTATCTCTTGCTCCCTTCCCTCCCTCATAAAAGAGCCAATACAGTAAGAACTTTTGAAGTGGAGAGAGTATTTGTATATTTTCCACTAGGTGGTTTTATGCATCAGTATGAGCAGAGGACCATGTTCCACTACCATAAATAGATAAAGATATCAAGGAAACTCACAAAAAATCCCAATCTGGATTCAAGACAAAGGCTCAAGTATGCTTTACAGATGGCTACTGACACACACAGTTAACAATTCAAGCAGCAATGTAATGTCTGAGGATGGGACACACACAGTATCATGGGTCAGTTTCCACAAGTACAACAAGCTTGTTATCCTAGTTTGTCAGTATACACACATCAGCAGATTAATGTGATGAAATGATTCTTTCAATGCTTATTAATAAGATATACAGTAAGTGAACAAATTTCATTGGACAGGGAAAATCCAAAGCTCTTTCCTTCTTGTTTCACGGCCAGGGCCAGAGTAAAGACAAATCACAGGGCTCTTTAACAAGGATATACAGTCTATGGTCATTGTACTACATACAACACCCCACCACCACCACCACCAAACCAGCAAACATGTGGCAGGGGGCAGGGACACAATTCCCTGGCTTCCAAAACTGCTTATAGATGGAAGATCTGAGCCGAACCACTTACAGGATTACTGTTTCCCCATTATTAGGAGAGAGGCTTACTTATGTGTGTATATAGATTCACAGGCTGTTCCTCTCAACTGACACCAAATATAATTCTAGGACACAAAAAGACTGTATAATTCTTCCCTATGTGGAACCATATTTTGTCCATCATTCTCCTGGACAATTAAATCACACTTTCTTCTGCACCAGCAGTTAAGATTACCAATCTCTCAAGACACATAAAGGCCAAAATGCTTTATAATTTTGCTAGAGCAAAAAGCTTCACTGGCATAGCTCCACTGATGACAAACTAGCTCTGCCAGAGAAGAGATAGCTACGAAGGCATCTCCCCCACTGGCTATTTTAATCAATGGCTGGTTTCTATAGCCCTTAAAGACACAGTGTTATGGATGAGTTGACTTGGAAATGAGCTGTTCAAATAATTTTCCAGTACCATAGTGCTGAGGACCACTATAAGACAGCACTATGTAGTTTAACATCACTACTATTTTGGAGAGCTCTTTGTACATGCCCTGCAACTATCAAACATTTTGTACTAGGGTCTCTTGCACAAGAAGTTTGCTTCAAAGAGATCCTGATTAAAACATCCTTTTCTACATTGGCCTGCCCTGACATTAGCTGAGTTACAAATATGAGGCATCTTCTGTGGCTGAAAATATAAATTCTATACCCCCTTTGGACAATAAGGCAGCAGAGCGTGGATGGCAGTTAAAACCCAATTAGGAGCCAGGATGCGATCATACAGCATGACTGGATTTCTTCCAGTTGTCAATCCACAATATGGAACATATCTTGAGAGTCCCTATTTGATAGTTAATTCAACTCCATTTGACAGTGTAATTCATTTTCTAAGTGAGTTAAGAAGTTTTATATGTTATTTCACATAATAATCCCATAACAAGACAGAATGAAAGACTGTGTGTTGTATAATGACACTTCACTAAGCCGCTATATAGGACAAAACCTTCAAAAATTTCCCACTTTCTCACCTGAAGAATGTGTGGTGCTCAATGCAAACCTTCCAGAGCCTCTTTGCTGAGCGATGATTGGGCAACTTGAAGCCAATTGTACTCTCGAATTGTTCATACTGAAAAGGAAGAAGCAAAAGACTAGGCATTATGACTAAGAAGTGTCAGATTCTACCAAGCTGGGCCATGAGAGGCACAGCAAGCTTAGGTAACCGGTGATGCCCGGGTTATGTCTTTTTAGAATAAACATTTGAAAAAGCCATTGTCTGTGGATATTATGAATGGTACTATTACAAAATGCTTAAGAATATGGGTGGGCTGAGAATCTCATCATCCTCTGTCATTTCTCCCCAAACCACACCAGTATCTAAAGTAGTCATGGTGTGGGGTCTACTTTTCAAGTTTGGTCTAGATCCATTGTTGGTGGGGTTTATAGTGGTCTCTGGATGTGGGTATATGTACTACAACTCCCATTGTCCAGGGTCCATGCCCCCCAAACTCCACCAGGACTTAAAGTGGGTCATGTGGGGGAGGAGGGGTCTGTGTGGCACGTTTGATCCAGATCCATAGTCGATGGGGGTCACAGTGGTCTCTGGAATTGGGAGCCAATAGGAAATTGGACCCAAACATACATTGCTGCTCATTTACATAAATACATTCACTTTTATTAGCTCGCTAGCTAGCTAGATAGATAGGTCCTTTTATGTTCCAGTTGCCAATAGTGACTGCCCTTGTCCTTCTGGCTGCTGCTGTCATGGTCTCCTAAAATAAAGATTCTACTCCTCCACATGCTTGGCTTTCAGAATTTGTAGGAAATCTAAGGGCAGGGAGGAGTCCTTTTTTACCACATCAAGCACAACACTTTCTGAAAGGCCAAAAATAAGTGTTCATCCCAACTTGAATGAATAAGATTTTGGTAAGTCAATATGTTCGTTCCATAGTTCCAATGGAACTAACAAATGGATTTAATCACAAATATTTAGGCATATACTCAAAGGCCTGGAGAATCCAGGAAAGGGGCCCTTCCTTTTGTGGCTTTTATTGTGCAGTTACTCTGAATTTTATCAAAGTTTCAGACACTGCCATCTTCCAGTCTTCCTTTTTCCATTCTTTTATCAGAGAAAGTCTGAAAAGCGGCCCAAGTTGAAATATGTAGTAATACTAAAAACTTACTTCAATCAGTAAAGAAAGACAATGCCGTGAAAGGGAATATATGATTTCTTTCCTTCTCCAAAGCCCAGTGTAAACTAAGAGGAAAGACCCTTCCATTACACATCCTTTATATCTGCAGAGAACTCAGGGGAAAAGCAGAGCCTTGTTTTGTTTTGCACTGGACTTCAAAGAAGACAGAAGTGGTGAGAGTTTGTGTGTTTGCTTCTATTTTTTTGAAAACTAGAACAAAATAAAAGTTCACCCCTATCCATCTTCAAAGCACTCAAGTGGGAAACCAGTGGCAACCAAATAATGCTTGACTATCAAGCCAAGTCAAAATCTGTGGACCCATCAAACACTCATTAACTAGATGAGAGAAAGGATTTTTCTAACATTGTGTTTCTCCCCAGGAATTAATTCATGCCTCATTATCCAGTAAATTATTTGCTAAAGAGTGAACTATTTCCTTTTCATTCCTTCTTCCTTTTTTTAACTCAATTCACCTCTTTTAAACTCTCTCCCCTTAACCCCAGAATGTTTTTCTTTATTTTGAACAGGAGATGCTTACTTCACCAGGTCGAATTTTGATGTAGAAGTTACTCCTCTTGTAAGAAATTTTCAGGATCTTGGGCCAAGCAAAACGGTTTATTCTCAGCCTGTCCCTATAAATGAGAAGGCCGTTGGCACATACACCCAGCATGATGTCAATGCCTTCTGAATCCTGAACAGATGCCAGAGGAGGAAATAAAAAGAGTTGCATTAGTGCATTTAAAAATCCTCACTACCAATAGAAAGTAAGGAGCATATTGAGAGCAAATTCTTAAATCCTTCTGGTCCATGACAAAGTATTATTTTAAACTATTGATATGAAACACAACAGAAGCAGGAGCAGATCAATACATTTTCTTCCTAAATTCCAAAGAATTCACTCTCTGCCTTCACCTCCATCTGACTCATTATTCACATACTAAATCCCCTAGTCCAACTGCAGCAAAAGGAGATCCAAATCTTCCCAGCTCTGGCCTGGAAAAAAGGGAGGGGGAGGTAAATGAAGGGAAGCACATGAAATATCATGATTCCTGGAAAGGAAATTATTTATGTATAGAATATTTTTCCTTAAGGCACTAGGGTGTATGAGCATAATATCTTGACATGTGGTTTGCCTCATATAAATCTTAATATTTGCCAAAATAGGTTGCAGATGTGCGCAAATGCTTTCTCCAAGCCACTACAGCAAGCAACAGGTGCTTGTCAGAGAACTCAGAACACACTGTAGTAACAATGTTGTACATGTATGCAGTAGAGGGTGCTTCACTGGCAAAAGAAAAGGCTAAAGCAGTGGTTCTTAACCTGTGGGCTACCAGTGGGTCCCGAGGAGGAAAATCTTATTTCTGCTCCTTTCACACCGTTTACCACTCCTTCCCTGTCACTGATCATACGTTCTGTATAAGAAACTAGAGCTGATGTAGTCTATCCAATGCAATTTTCTGAATCAGCACCCCCACACCAAATCTGAAGTTGACCAAAAACTGATTCACAATCCTTTTGGTACTCATGTTGGAGAATGATCCCTGGTCAAAGTGGTCCCTGGTCAAGTGGTCCCTGGTCAAAAAAAGGTTGGGAACCACTGGACTACATTGGCTAATGCACCACAGCAAAGTCTTTTCCAAGGAAGGGCTGGGCAATGTGACTTGGTAGGTGCTTTAGGACTGCAGTTCCCATAATTCCTCACTACTAGTACTGATGGAATTCCATTACCAGCTGGGAGCTCCACCATTGCCTCCCTGATTTAAAAGTGTATTCATGTATAGGGACATATACAAAAACAATACTCAATTTCTAGAACCGATCTTTGTCCCAGCTCTTGGGAAAATTTCAAGCCTATCAGGAGTTGCTGCCTAGCAACATATAAAACACTGGGAATTCTCAAAGTACCAACAGAAGTAATTCCCCCATATGTGCTAACCTTAGAAAGTCTGTTCAATAAATTCTGAACTAGATAGCAGCAGTGTGTTCTTGAATCCTACAGCTGCAGGTCACAGGCTAAGGTGCTGTTATATTTGCAAAGTTCAAATATGAATGTTGAAGCAAAATGTCCTTAATGTTTTAGCAGTTACTTAGTCCGTGCTAGCATGCCAGTGAGCTTGGTGATAAGGTTTTGTATTCTACAAACCTCTGTCTTTCAAAAGATTAAATGCATCCTCCCACCAATTGTGATTGCCTCCTGTAAAGTACAAAATTTCTAAAATAGCTTTTAAGCTGGAGACATCCAAACAACTGTCCCTGCTGTCAGATGACACATAGATACGAAAGGAGGGCAGTTGTGCATATAGAAAATAAGAAAAAACAAATATAGGAGAGCAGAAAAATACAAGAAAGTGCCCAAATGAGAAGGAAATAAAAGCATGAATGTTGATCTTAAGGATTTTACTGAGAATCTTGTAAGAAGACAATTTCTATAAAAGCTTCAGCTTTTACCACTTACAGAATTTACTGTATAGTGCTATAAACTTCAAAAAGTCTCAAATCTAAAATATCTTCAAAAGTATACCAATATAAAGTCACAATTTATCATAATGAAATGACTGTTCTTATTATTCTTAGGGGAACCTTCAATAATTTTTACATACTCTAGCTGATGTTTGGTGTACTTGCATAGCGTTTGGCTTCAAGGTGAAGCGATCCGGTAATCATTTCTGGATCACTTGTCGTAAATAAATAAATAATAAATAAATAGTAATTTCTGTTCAAGCTGATCTTGCAGAACCTTCATAAATTACATTTCTTACCTATATGCCTGAGATCTTTAAGGACACCTGCAGTGCAGTGCTATACATATTTACTTGAAAGTATAATTTAATTAGTCCAACAGAATTTATGCCAGAAACATGTATAGGACTTCAGACTTAGAAAATATCAACAGCAATATGTATTGATAAAAAGTTGCAGAATTGCAAATTTGAGTGCTTTATCAAACAAAAAAATAGCTCAGCTTAAAGAGAAATAAAAAAAGAAAAAAGAGATTGGTTTTAGGCCTGTTTGAAATCTGCCTGGTAATGTCACAGCATTTTTATGAGTATTTGAAAGAGAACAGCACAGCAGAAATATGAAAAAAAAATATAGATTAATTTTCAAGAGGTGGAAAGGAAATGTGGAAAAGACTGAAGGAACAAAGCTGTGCTGCATGCTTCTAAATCTCAAGATCAGACTACCTTGGCATGATGCAGATCAACTCCATACATGGAAAGCTTCTTGGCATTCTCCAAGAAGTGAATTTCTGCCTCACCAGGTGTCATGCCCCTGTAGGAAACAATGATGAAAATGTTAATAATCATCTTGCAATAAATAGTCTAAAAGTTCTCAAACAGGGAAACAATGTCCCATATGGATTGCCTTAGGGATCTGGGTAAGTTTAGCTTGGAGAAGAGGTAACGTAACAGTCATGTTTAAAAATGTGAAAGGATGTCATAATGGAGATGGAACAAGCTTGTTTTCTGCTGCTCTAGAGAATAGGGCGTGGAACAATGGATTCAAACTGCAGGAAAGGATATTCCACCAGAATATTAGGAAGAACTTCCTGATGATAAAAGCTGCTTGACAGTGGAATATATTGTCTTGGAATGTGTTGAAGTCTCCTTCTTTAGAGATTTTAAACAGAGGTTAAATATTATCTGACAAGAATGCTTTTGATTGTGTATTAGAGGTGTGCATGACACCAAAAATCTGCTTAGTTTGTATTTGCGAAATTTGGGTGATCCCCAAATTCATCTTCTCAATTAACCCCAAAATGTATGTTGCTTGTGTTAACATTGGCCCTGAATCAACAGCAACAGCAGCACCCCTCTGGGCACTCAGGATTTATTAACCTACACTACACTTTGCAGAATTGAATTATATTTTTAAAACCAATAGAAAGGGAAAAATTAAAATAGAATTAAAATAGTCTAGAAAATAAAGAAAGCAGTCTGGAGGATTTTAAGATAAAAAAAATCTAAAGAGAAAACAGACACTCTCACTAAAATGAATCCTAAATGCATCCCCCCCCCCCCAAAGAAAATGATCCTAAAAGGATTCTAAGCTGAGGCAAACTAAACTTGCATGGCACATGCAAAAACCGTCAAGAACAAATTCAGCTCCTAGCTAGTCATTTGCTATTTGCTACCCTCAATCTCTCTTCCAGCTTGCTAGCAACGGCAACAGAGGCAACATGGCTCCTGAATTTAAAGGAAGCACCAGGATTGCCTCCTCCCTTCCCCTCTTCCTCAGTCGTGATAGACTGAGGAGACCATGTGACATACCAAGTTTCCCTGCACTGCCCAGTAGTCTGCCTCCAGTGAAGAAGCTGACTCACTGCAACTTAGGAAGAGTAACAAACTTCTTATGACACTTCATAAATGGGTAGTTTCATTTGTTTGCGTGTGTGAAGGGCAGTGTCACTGAGCTGTCTTCGTAAAGCGGGTCACAAGTATGGATTTACCAAATCAGTTATGACTTATAACCTGTATCCAAATTTTTGCACAGCCCTATTGTGCATTCATGTGTGTCAAGGGGTTGGACTGGATGGCCTTGTGGTGTATGATTCTTTGATTGTACGGAATTCTGGAAACTGCCATTCAAAAACATCTAGAAGGCTACATAAATTTCCAGTCCTATTTTATAGGATGAGGAAAAAAACCTATAAACTAAATAACACTATTTGACACCAAATATTGTAAAGTGCCAAGCTTTCAAGATCTTATTTATTCTCAGAATGAGAGGGAAATTATCTACCGGTAAGTTTTGTGCAGCTCCATAATACGCTCTTCCAACTCCTTGGTCTGGTTTGGAGCAAAACGAAGCTCACCAACATAGTTGCCCACATGCTCCTCACAATCATAATCTCCCAATTCAGCCTGTACAGCATAGGAACCTAAGAGTGCATGTGTAACAAAGGAGCATGGCAGGCGGCCACTGATGATGTCTGCTCGGAGCTGCAAACACAGGTAGTATCTAGGGAGGAGAAGGTATCAAGCTGTTAGAATGTCCACATGGAAAGTGATCCAGACTTGCAGCCATTTACTGAGAAAAGATTCACATTGGCCTTTTGAGAAATTAAAGCTACACAAACTCATATCCACCAAACCAAATGAATTCCAGAGTCTGAGCACAATATATTTCAAATGCTTTCTGGGAGAAAAAGAATCAGGTAAAGTACCCAGTATGCTTTGCCAAAGATAGGGAGAATGCTATATTAAACTGGCTAATATATTTTCAAACTTTTTTGCCTTTCTAATTCCCAGCATTCTGAGCGGTTGTTCCAGGTGAACCCAAATATTATCACATTATCTGATGAGTTTAATTTGAATGCCTACCAAAGCCTTCTTCCATTATTCCATCTCAAGATGTTATGGAGCCACAATAATAATCCTAGATGTAGGGATCTGAAGAATCCCAGTTTTATACATTTCTTTCTGGATTAATCATGCACAGTCATACCAGTTAACAAAGCCACTGACAAAGCAGCTCCTTTTTACACAGTTCTTTAACACTTGTATAAGTCTGGTTTTCCTCCTGGTTCTATGACCTGTTGAATATTTGGAGGGAGTGGTTTTATTGGCATTGGGAGGCAGATGAAATAGAGCTGGAGAAACATCGACCTTCTTGTCAGTTTGGAGCAATATGTCTCCAGTTAACAATGTAATAAAGCTTGAGCTGGAAACAAATGGGATTTGATTCCAGTCAATCCTACTGCAGTCAGGTTGTGCTTGTTTACGAAAGACAAAGTAAACAGCTGTTACCTCCAAAATATCTTACTGAGCACATGCAAACAGCAAAAGAGAAAGAAAAGGAGAAGATTAGATGAGCTTGCCTCACCTGCTTTCCCCAGCATGATAAAACATATTTGACTACCAAAATAGAAATTATAAGAAAGGTGGGGACCAGTGAAAGAAAGAGCATCCTTGGATACCTTTTGGGAAAAAAGTTTCTAAAACATCTCTAAAGGTTAAGGTAAAGGTTTTCCCTTGACATTAAGTCTATCTGTTTCTAACTTGGGGGGGGGGGTGCTCATTGTAATCCAAAGAGCTGAGGTTGTCCATATACTCCTCCAAGGTCATGTGGATGGCATGACTGCATGGAATCTCTAGAGCAGTGGTTTTCAACCTGTGGGTCCCCAGGTGTTTTGGCCTACAACTCCCAAAAATCCCAGCCAGTTTACAGCTGTTAGGATTTCTGGGAGTTGAAGGCCAAAACATCTGGGGACCCACAGATTGAGAACCACTGCTCTAGAGGATTCCAAATATTTTTGTTCACTTATGCAAAGTTTATGAGGTCTGTTTGTTTCACTTTATATGTGGAGATCGTTAGTTCTGAATAACAAAGTCTCTTGAAACATCTTTTTTTTTCTTTTTGGTGTAAGATCTGATTCCTATTCTTTTCATATTCTTTCTTAGTCTAGCACCACTTTCGGTTAAAGAAATAATACTCAGGAACACATCTACTTTGTTAGCTGAGATAAATTTGATTACATGAAGACAAGATGTTTGGTTGGGTTAATTGATGCATTACAGTAACACAGACACCTTTAAAAAACATCAAATCTATTTTTAATGACAGAGCAGCCATAATTCTCATGGCTGTGCCACTGAGATATTCCAGGAGCTGTCCACAATATTTGTGACCATGTCATTGGGAGTTTATGGGAGTTATTGTGAAAAAAGCCCAACCAAAAACAAATCATCGTTCAGTGTTCTTGAAATATTTGAGTTAACTCCCCACTGCTTCCTCACTCAATGATTGTTTTGAACACAGGTTAATTTCTTCTGCAGCACCAATGGATCGTATCTAACATTTCACTCCTCTTCAAAACTCAAGGGTTCAAGTGGACCAATTTGTTTCTTCTGAGAGAAAATGCCATGCTGTATTTTCCCAGTGCTTAATACAAACAATGGAGGTAGTAGTTGGCTGCAAGTTATGCCTTTCTCTTGTTCTTGAAGCAGAAAGCAAGTTGTAGGATCAATAGCCAACGGTTTTCACTTCTCTTAGCCACCAATGGATAGAAAGCATTCTGTCTTCATGGCTAAAGCTGTAGCTCCAGGTGACCACAGGGTTATTCTTAATGTGTCCTCTTTGTAAAAGGTTAATGTGAGAATTGGCCCTGAGAGGAAGCTTCCTCTACTCACCTTGTTATATCCTCTGTGAGCTGAGCAGGGTCTGGAGGGTAGAATTTGACAGTGAAGGCAAAGTTCCAGGAACCACCTTGGAGAAGACAGAAAGTATAATGGAAGAGTGAGAAAAGAGCATTTTGCTGAGGTGTCTTTTTTCTTGCATTGTCAACCCTGTAACCATCATCTCTATGTGTTGTTTCTCTGATTGGGGCTACCTCGCAACCCAACCCCTCTGACATCCCTAAGGAAATGATCAGTGTCTATAAAGAAGACAAATTCCTTCAATTCAGCAGGGATCTTTGCTCAGCTACATGTTCATGGCTAAGGCAAATGGAAGGGTGCGCTTCCCTGCTAAGGCCTATGACATGCAGCGCAGCCTTCACTGCCACACACAGAGAGAGACCCGGACTTGTTGTTGCCATGGAAACAGGCTCACGTCTCCCAGAGGGCCTGCTGTTGGGGACAGACCTCCCATGGCATCTGTGCAAACCACTGCAAAGCAAACCCACCCAGATGCTGCAATTCTAGAAGCAAGTTCCTGGAGGGATTTCTCTTTCTCTTAGAAAGAAAGAGGTGGCAAGACCAAAACAGTTCAGTCCCCCCTCACCTCTCTTTCCTACCTGCTTAAATTTCAGCAATGGGCACCTCGTGCTTTACCTGACTTCAGCTATAAATTTGACACATGTATGTATAGACGCATGCACTGGTCTCAGTGGATTAAATGGTCGGAAGCCGCTTGCAATGCCTTTCTGCAATGCATCTGCCATCTGCTTGTGGCACAATTGGGACACAATTATAGAGAAGGAACTGGGAATAGTCAAAGGATAGTTCTGTCTATGAGTTTGGCTGCATGATCTTTAAATCCTTTTCAACTCTATGCACATGGGAAGGGGATTTCTGGCTGCACAAATGTGCCAGTTTGAGATGTACATGAGACACACCCTTTCCAATTTTGATGGGCTTACAAAAGAGAACAAACCAGTACTTTCTTAAAAGAGATTTCTCTCAAGTTCCTCTGTATTCCAAAGTATCGGAAAAATCAGGATAATAAAATGAGAATGAAAAAACACCTGGGTTCTTTTTCCAAATGTTCATTACATGGAAGTCCAAGCAGCAGTAATTCTATGCCTGTCAGCAGGCCCGTAGTCAGGATTTTGATTCAGGGGGAGGGGGGCTGAGTTTGATTTGGGGGGGGGCTGAGGATCTACCCTAGCAAACCTTTTGTATCGTTATCCCGATACCCCCATGTATATGGGATATATTGAGCATGGTGATCAGATATGAATAAACATAATGGTTTAAATAATGTACCAGTAAAGCCTTTTCGCGGACCACCCTCAAGCCTCCCCCCCCCCCAGCTACGTGTCTGCCTGTCAGTTATGACAAGAAAAATCACTTCACAGAAAACCGTCAAGAGTAGCCCAATTACTATGGGTACACATTTACATATTTGTTTAATCAATGTGTTCTTGATTAAACAAATATGCAAAGAGCATATAAACCACAGCTTCTTAAACTGTGGGTCCCAATCCTTAGTTCAATGTTGGGGACGCCTAGAAATTTGCAACAATAAAACGTTTTCAACACCACCTAGACCTTTAAATGAATCTGTTAGCAATAGCGTGTAGTATTTACA